ATAGTAGGATGCTCAAATGAAATACGCGGCCACGCCTACCGTGTCCCAGGGATGTGAAGTGGAAGGGAACCTTTTTTCCTCCAGAATACAGGTCACATTGCTTTCAATCAGTCGTCAGTTCATATGTACCTCTAAATCATTGAACCTTTAGTCCTTTCAGAGCATATCCAAGGAGTTCTACATCGACTTCAGGTGACACTAGTCAAGTACGTGGCAACGGATTCTCCGAAAGCAATTTGATCTTGTTCAGGCTAAGAGAGGATCCATTTTGTGGAACGAATATGGTGGATCTGGCGTGCGCGGGTGAAATTTCGTACAAAGGTCTCGGTGGAACTCCCTTCGGACCACCGCCGATCGCATGGATTCGCTCTCAATCAGACACTCACATGTTGATGCTCCAGATCTCCGACTATCTACCAAATTCGCTCTTCTATCACGCTCACAAGTATGTTCGATTTTTCCCACTGAGTCATTTTGTGTACTCAGGGTCCAAACTTGCGCTAGAACTTAGAATTAGAAGGAGAGGTTTGGAATATTTGCACAAGTCTGAGCCAGAGCTTGCTTCTTTTGGAAATAGAAAGTACCAGCGCAAACGAGGACTGTGCCTGCGTTTGTGGCGGATATCGTCCACTGAAAGAGATCTCTACGTTCTCAGACCGCAGCATTGCAAAGATGGGCTGCTTGATAAAAAGCCTTAGAGAACGCGTCCAATGCGAGAAAGGACACTGCTTACTTCAATGGGGATCTCATGTAAACTTGAAATCACCTATGGTGTCACTCCAAAGACAGTTGGCTTGATAATTGGTAATGCGGTCTAAAATGCTAGCAGGGTGCTACATAGTGAGAAAACGGCGAAAAAACGAAGTGAAACGGTTAAAAACCCGCGAAGAGAACCTTTGTTCTAAATAACTCAAAAAGCAATTTCGGAAGAGTCTCCTATAGGAATCTTGCCACTAACCACTGCGGTAGGTGGCTGCATTTGTACATCATGTGTCATGCAGCATCACGCCGCCGCTTCATGCCAATCCCCTTATTTATTGGGTCACAAATAAAACAATACAGTCGAGGTCGTCCATTTGTGGGCGCGCGGGTGTGGTGGGCGTTCGGGTCGGTATGCTGTAGCTTGATAGGGCCTTATAAGGGTATCTCCAAAAGGCGCTACGCAGTGGGCTTGCAAGTGGGAGGCGGAAATCCGTCCTGCCAGTCGTATCAATCCTACTCGTCTTAGGGATTCATCGTGCCAACTGCCTTCGAGATATCGTAGCTTCCAGTGTTCACAATGCAGAAAAAAAAATCAAATTTCACTTCAGAATGATCTACAGAGAAAGGATAGCTAATTACACTGAGGATGGAATCCAAAATAAGGATGTTACCAAGGTGGAGGTGATTTTATCAGCAAATGGCATTATCAAAGCACGGTCATCAGAATTGCCCACATCCTCAAATACTAACATACATACATTGCATTCAGGATACAAACTACATACAGGTCAGCTGACTGGCGCTTCTCAACAGAAAAGTGGGGCCACGCGGAATTCGCCTTGGAAAGTAAGAAGCAGCTGCTACGCCGGATGCCTTTTTCGGGTTTTTTTGGCCAAATCACACTTCATGTGCCAGTCGCCATTTGGCTTACTTAAAGCACTTGGCACGTTAATTACGTAAGACGAGAAGGAATAATACGCCTGGCAGGACGGGGTTCCGCGACTCTCAGCAGGCGCGGTGTAGCGCCTTTCCCAAGGAAAGGTACCCTTATAGGCCCTATCAAGCTGCAACATACCGACCCGGACGCCCACCACGCCCGCCCGCCCACAAATGGACGACCGTACCTGATGCTCGTATTGCTTCATTTGCGAAGTAAAATATGAAGCGAAGGGATTGATATGAAGCGGCCGCGGTGCTGCATGGATATATGAGTACATACGTGCAGCCGTACCTACCGTAGCGGTTATTGGCAAGATGTCTACGGGAAAACTCGTCCGAAATTGTCATTAAGAACGAAGGCTTTTTTGCAGGTTTTTGACCGTTTCACTTCGTTCTTTCGCCATTTTCCCCAATATATAGGACCCTGCTAGCATTTTCGACCGAGTATGAAATTATGCCCCATATGCTTCAGAAGTCACAAGGCACGATCATTCGGTAGTTGCTCGGTGGGGATGCTATATAGTGGGAGAATGACGAGCAACGAAGAGAAACGACTGGAAACCTGCGGAAACACCTTTGTTCTGCACGGCAGTGAGCGAGCACTCTTGGACGAGCTTCCCGTAGGCATCTTGTCAACAACACTTTAGTTAGGTACGGCTGCATGTATGTATTCATATATTAATGTAGCCACGCTTCAAACCAATTGTTCTTCATAAATCGAGCGATAAGAGAACCAGCGTCGATGTGAGTGGGCGGGCGATTGCGATGGGCGTCTGGGTCGGCATGTTGACCTGGGCTAGGCGCTATGACGGTGCCCTTGATTGTTAGAGGCGCCGCGCATCGCCTGCTTAGGAGCGTCGAATTCAGCCCTGCTAGGCGTATTCATCCTACACTTCTTGGGGATTTACCGTGCCACTTGCCTTTGATGGAATCAGAATGCTTGGCGCACCACGAAAGGCGTTTGGCCAACATTGGATGCTCTAATCTTTTCAAGAGTCAAAGAGTATTTTTTCTGTGTATTTTCTACGTCACATCAAATCAACGTAACAGGTTTGGGCTTGCCACAAGGTGCGCTACTCACCAACAATGAGATTAGCACAGCAGTAGAGTAGAATTGTAAACTGGCCCAGAGATGTGATTATGCGTCACTGAATGGAATTACAAAAAAGTACTGAAATTCTAGTGCTCTCTTTCTTTTGTTGCACTATGCTCCTTTCGAAAGCTAAAGCGTTTTTTTTTCTTCGTTTGTCGAAAAAAACAAGTCGGTTTTTTCCAAGGAATTCACCAGTTGGTGAATTAAAACGTCGCCTGCACCCATATGTTTCATATCCCGAATGCGAGGAGAGGGCGTGGCTGGGTGCATTCAATTAGAACAAAAAAAACAAAATATTGGGAAAGGAATACACTCCAAAGCACAGATGATCCGTTTCGCCCGTTATCGCAGACGAATCATCGATGTCTTACCAACCCCCCGGGCTCGTCAGTGCGACATTTCGTGCACATGGACAATCGGACGTACGTAGGGAAGGACAAAAATAGGATAAAACGACAAAAAATGTAAAACAGTTGACAACTTGCAAATTTCATGGCATAATAGATAGAAGGAACTTATCAGCAGAAAAATGAAATAAGGATGTAACAGGTGTGAGTTCTAAAATACGTGTAAGAGGAAGAAAAATGGATTGTTGTACAAGGGCTGAACTAGTAAAGTAAAGGTTGAGTAAAAGACACTGTCGCAGCGGATTTCAAAAAGTTAAATCAAAAATTGTAGGGTAAAAGGAGAATTAGTGTTGAACGCCGCTGCCAGTGAGACTACTCTAGCAGCTACCTAAAGGCAGTTGCCACCTAAATGAACCCCCAATATGGCACTAGGATCAATACTCGCTCCAGTGATAATGATTACATCACTGGAGTATCAAACTCAACATTACCACGCGGGCGCTTGGTCTTCATTTTCGGATTTCTCGTCGAGGTATCCCATCGTAGGACACATACAGGGGGGAGGGGAAAAGACACTTTCAGTCACAGTCACATATCAGTAAAGTTTACGCAGCTCAGATAAGAAGACATGGATACGAGTACCAGGGCGGAAAGATACCAAAGATGTTCTTCGATAAGCAGGAGCAGGCTCTCATCCATCACCTTCATGTACACCAAAATATGGAAGCCGTCTCCACTCGCAGTCGGACTGGAGAACGGCCTATGAAATTCACGTCACCTCCAAAGAGCTGCGAAAGTTCTTTCACCGAGTCACCCATGGACAGCTACCTGGAGACCGGCACTCTCGATCTGGAAGATCTCCAACATCGAGCAGCTCCGACAACGTCGCCACGGTCCAGGATATCATCTTCACCGCAGTCGCCAAGGCGCGGGTTGATGGTATGGACCGAAATTCCTGGAATGAGAAGACTTGATATCTTCTTCGTGAACCACGGACATAAAGTGAACGCTGACGGTTACACCGAACAGCGCAAGGAGAATAAACTGCCTTCATGTCGTCGCTGTGTACGTCTTGGAAACTTCGTGCTGCTACGAGATGAGGCCAGCACGGAATCGAAGGGCGTTGGAAAAACTCTCGCCTACTTGGAATGGAAGGGCGTTGAGTACCTGAAGAAGATGGAATATCAAGTCTGCCACGTGGCCTAAACCCCCTCGATTACCGGGTCCGAGCGGAGCTCAACAGGGTGGTCTGCAGTGGCGGAGAAATTCACGACCTCGCTAAACTCACACTGTCGCGCTGGCCAGGATATCTCGAGGCGTTCGCCCAGAAGGCTGCGATGAATTTTCGTAATCGTCTGCAACGCGTTACTGAATTTGATGGTGAAAATGCCCAATCAGGATTTAGCAAAGTGTAACTTCGCCTTGAAAGTCGAGGAAGGAAAGTGTATGATTCCAATAAAATACATCAGCTCACCATCAGTTCCCTGTGGGAACAAAACCTAAATTCAAAAAGACGTTATCGTCTTTTCAGCTCAAGCGCTGGTCGATTACAAGGTCGGTTTCTTTGAAGGCGGAAAAGCCACTACAGCAGCATTTCCTATCAGCAGTAATTGTTCTTAATCTCCAGCGGCCTTGTTCCTCATTCTCATCTATAGAAGGCCGTTAGCTGAAATTGGGTATTCTCCTTGTAAAATCTGCAACTATGCCATAGCTTCATAATTGGAGGGCTTTGTTTCGTGAGTATATGTACTGTGAACATAAAAGAACTATCGATGAACATTGCCGCGCAGTACCGTTTCGTGTACGTCCCTAGCTGTAAGACTCCAAGCAGGAATAGAATGTTGGACTACTCAAATGCTTGTCACGGGTTAATCATTGTTTCTTGTTTCAGGCAGCGTCTCATTCGCCTTCATCTGTCGCCGTCTACGCCCGGTGTGTCACAATTTCTTCGAACATCATGCGAGAACTCGTTCTGCCTCGCAGATCTGATCCCACAAATCACCGAAACTTACCCCAATCACACACTCGAGCTCTCTCTCGCTTCCACTCGAGCACCAGCCGTTTTGTTCTCTGAGAAGAAAGGAGGTAAAAGCGGATCCTGAAATGTTTGACAACGAGTTGATAATAGCTGCAAGT